CAAATACATACGTTATTGATTAAAATACTATTTCCCTATAAAAACTAATGCTGATTTCGTTTGTCCCAAACAAATCTCGTTCTTCCATGGTGCAAAATGTGTTTGATGCTAAGCAGTGTTTGCATTATTCAACTTTGGGTTAACATAGAATTCATTATTTGTGCATCGCATGAAAAAATCCTTTATGACAATCCTGCGTTGGATTGTCAACTTCGAAGAGGTATTGTTACACCGTAGAGATTAAAATATATAAACGGTTAGATATAGTACCTAGAATTTTAGTGCCAAAATTTAAAGTCTCTCTAGGGCAGGTAGGATTTTTGCAAGGCTGGAATTTATCGCCAGAAAGACAGAGAGAGCATCAACTACTTTGCTCAGGTGGGAGCCCAGACACCCCTTCCCGTTTTGCTTTTGAACGTGTTTGTTTCCACCTTCCATCACTATACTGTCAGCCTGAGGAAAATAATGTACATACCTATACCAGCCAGTTACTGCTGTTGCGCTATATGTGTGTTGCTGTGTGCCCTACGTTCAATAGGATAGTTTTTGCATTTTGTTCTGATTGTAAAAATTTATTATCTATACTTTTAAGACTAGAATATATTGCATTAAAACAACAACATTTAAAAAATGTTTTATAAAAATGATTTTTATTCTTTATAATAAATTGTTCTGAGGAGAAGCTCGGCCAAACACTAACATACATATGTGTAAGCGCCAATCTATTATTATTATTATTAATAAATTGTTCTTAATTTAGCATGTAGTTTTTTAACGTTAAATGAGTTAAAGCCAATTAAATTACAAATAATTTTAATTTAATTGCTAGTTTTTAGACCTTCATACAAAAAAATACTTATGAAGAAACATAATGGGCTTTGTTAAAGTTAATTGATAGTAATAGTTGATTGGTTGAAACCACTTAAACTTGTTAAATTTGTAATTTTGTTCGAAATTGCAACTTGATTGGAAAATAATTGGCAGAAATTTAATTAAACTGAATTACTAAAAGATAGGAAATTCCCGAAAATCACAAAATTAACTTTTATGCAAATACGAGTTCAAACGTATTAATACATATATTTTTTAATTGGTTATATAGTATGTACATAAAAAGTTGCACATACACTCATACATAAATGTGTTTGGAAACGAATTCATTTTCATTATTTGCAAACTTTTGCAATTTCAATAACCCACTAAATAAACCAATACGCAAATGCATTTATGGGCATACATAAACCCTGTTAGAAATCTGGGACGTGATACTAAAATTATTTATGCATAGTATGCCGGTTCAACATCAGCAGCCATAAAGGCCTTAATAAAATTCTTGACTGATGAAAATACACAAAACTGGGTAAATGGGATTTATGAAATTGCTGGCTTTCCTCAATTTTGCCGAAATGGGGCTGTCGCTTTCCATATATCGATGGTCCTATGAAATAAGGTCACAACTTAAGGTTTCATGTTTTTGAGTTATATAGCAGATTATGTTTATAAACAACCATATATTTTTTTGGCAAATCGACATAATAATATATAATATATTATATATATATATAAAATATGCTTAGCTGTTACCAATCCTACAGGGGCGAACTTTTGCCATTTGTCACAAAACCGAAGTAGGGAACCTTTACTGCCGAACGGAGTCCCACGCCTCACTATTATCGCGAATATTGGCATCACTCAAAGACTGTCGATAGGCTAGTGATTCTTAGGGCCGGTTACAAATCTGCGGTTAAATATCGTCTACGACTCCATGCATACAACAGGGTAACGTCGATAACTATGTTTAACCGGAAATTATCGTTAACCAGACATTGAGTAAGCGGCCCTTAGTAATTCTTAGGTGTAGGCGGCGTATGAGTAACATTATTTCGTTCTCAATTTTTGTACACATAATCTTGCGCATTTTTATTTGACCACTCATTGTTTCGTATTTATCCATCGATTTTCTTCATCAGTAACTTGATTTTTCTTTGTTACAGAACATGCTTTCGTACAAATACAAAAATTTGGAACAGAACCTGTTATTTTTTTAATTTTTCTTCTGTTAAATTTTGATTTTTTTTTCATTTTTTCATTAAAAAATAAACCAAGCTGGAATGATTAATTAATTTGGTAGAAAATATAAAAAATAAGTGAAAAGTGATGTATGCACGGTTTATGGAGAATTTCATTGGCTTTCATTTACCGTATTTTATATTTAGATTTTTAAATTGGTTCGTAAAATATACGTGATTAAATGGAACCAATTTTTGTTTTATCGAAATCAGTTGACGCGGTCCAAAGTTATGCGGTAACATACATAAAAAAATAAAATTAATCAAAAAATAGTAAAATAAAAAATAAATTAAAAAAATATTTCGACGAACTGATAACCTCCCCCTTTTTTGGAAGTCGGCTAAAAATAATGATTATCTCTGATGGAAAAGATAAAAATCATAAAATAATTATTATTTGTAACCGAAAAAATATTAATTTTTAAGTAAAAAAACCGACCTCAATTCCCATTTAAAAAAAAAAAATATATATATATATATATATTTCATGATCCAATTATCGGATCTAAGCTAGATTAGTATGCGACCACCTCTGAGACGCTACCCTTCCCGATGCAAAAAGAATTTGCGAAATCGGTTGACGTGGCCCAAAGTTATGCGGTAACATACATAAAAAAAAAAAAAAATAATTAATACTCCGACGATTTGATAACCTCCCCCTTTTTTGAAGTCGGTTTACAATCAAATGATAATTATTTCCGTTGAGCGAAAAATAAAGCTCAATAAAAATTTTTAATAATGATTTTGTGCTGATTACAATTATTTTACTCATAATGATTACCGTCCCTGGTATAAATACATACCCGTCGTATGCGCATAAGGACATTAGGGTGTAGCACGCACAATATTTTTTTGACTCTGCACTAGATATGGGGACCCACGGTACTAAATTTAAATTGGGTAGCATAGGCGGTATCGGGAAGGTCTTTAAATAAACCCCGCAACTGCCAAAATTTCAGAAATAAAATATGCGACAAAGCCAGATATTTCAGTTTGACAAAAGTTTAATATTCGAGTAAGAGATACTTTAGTAAAAGATTGAAATAATGGAATAGTCAAACTTTCCCCGCAATAATTTGACTGTTGAAATGCTATGTGGCACGCACAGTGAGTTGAAATGAAACCCTTTAGTTAAAATAAAATTTCTCCTCTAGGAATTAACTGTTTTGGGTGGTTTTCTAATTAAAGGTAAATACAGGTAAAGGTAAATACATATATTTCAAGAAGAAGTAAATACATATATATTTCAAGAGAACAGTTAAGGACAAGGTTGAGGTTAAGGTCAAGGTTTAGGTTTATGTTAAGTTTAAGGTTGCGGTAAGTTTAAAGATAATATTCAACAATTTTTTGTAGAATTTTATACATTCTTGTTTAATAAATGAAATATTATTTATCAACCTGCAAGTGTCCTTGAATATTTGGTTACAACATTTTCCAAAATTTCCCTTTAAATATATGTATTTACCTTAAGTTTAAAAATATAACGCAACACAGGTAATTCTAATAGGAGATATTTTATTTTAACCACAAGGTTTCGTTTCAGTGCGCTGTGGCAGGTAGCTCCGTTTAGTTGAAAGCAGATATCGTCAAAATTAATATTTCCCAATTGCAATCATAAAAATGTGTTATAATTGATCATTACCGCTCTCCATTGGCAGAGACGGTATCACCAGATTCATTTTGGAACAAGTACGGGTCAATTATTCCACCTGACCAAAAACAACACCAAGCAGTCAGTTCACGCGAACGTAATAATTTGTGCATTTTCCAATGTATTTTGTTGCAAGTATTGATCATCGCTAGTCAGATATGCATTTTTTCCACTTTACTGACAAGGCGCCAATAAAACTGGTCGTCTTCGGATACCAAGAAAGTATCAGGGAAATTTTTAATACCTTCAACTGAAGTGTACCGTAGTCCCGTAAGGGCGTAGTGCATCGACCGGAGCAACTTCCATAACATGGCACTACTGCAAAATATGGTTAAATTATGATGCTTGAAAACGAAATTGGCTGCAATATTGTCCGGTATGCTTAAACACTAATGGTGCCTTTTGCTGACAGCCCTTTAAAACTTTTTGGTATACCGAATATTATTTAAATTTTATTTTAAAGCTATGTAATTTTATTTGATGATAGATTTTGGAACTCACGGAACCCAGGGTACAAATCTGAAAAACGTCAAAATAGAGGGGTTCGGGAACTAAAAGCTGGGAGGGATATGGATTAAGTATTTAGACCAGCGGTCATCTCTGCTCTGCAGCACTAAACTCATTGTGAGTGCAGGAGTCAGAGTATCTGGAAAATATGTATAAATCTTTCGTAAAATGTGCAACCTACATATGCGAAATCTGTTAATAAAATCGCACAAATACCAGATTGCGAAATAATCAATAATTTATATAATAAAGCGAACTTCGTAGAGAGCGCAAAAAACAAATTGTTTGCGCATCCTATTGCAAACATGTATCTATGCATGTGTATAAAAGTTCCAGACACAAAATCGCTTAGCAATTCTTGCGCGCTTGTGAATTTATTCACCATATTGCATTTACCTAAATCAAGATTTAAATCAAATTTCAAATGTCAAACCCATTTCTACCCTTTTGACCCTAGTTTGCTGTACTCAGCTAAATTGATTTTTATGTATAACCAAAAAAACTCATGTAAATAGGGCACATATATGAACACGTACAGTGCGCTCGTCAAAACGTGAACCAAGCGAAACCACGGCAGTTCACATTTACGAAATTTTTTTTGATGTTCGCGATTGTGGAAAATTAAGGCAACAAATACCTGCCGCAATAAATAAAGGCTTGTGCAACATTCCCCAAAGGGAAGTTCTTAACGGAACTTACGATCTCTGATTCATATCATCTATATTATTGCCGCTTTCCTCGCTTTTGACATAGAATACGTCTTACGTTTCGATATGGAGGCTATGCTTAAAGCGCAGCGTAAATACATGCATACGTACATACATATGTTGATTGCAGTTAATGGGGATCTGTTCCTCTTTTAGTAGTCTATGTATATACATATGCATTAGATTGCATCACTCCCCGTACAAAAAAGTTCGGTATTATTTTTTCATTGGATTTATAAAATGTATTATATTTTAAGATGTCCACCAAAATATTTCGAAAAAATATTAAGATTTAGGTGGGCTGGAGCGATTTGAAAATACCTCCAAAAATGGAGTTTTTTTATGAATAAAAATAGTTTCTTAAAGACTTTTTTTAAAAATCCTACAAAATGACAAAACGGTCTAAGCTTAAAAAATTTGCATAAAAATATAAAAAAAAAAACAATAAAAAATATTTTGAATGGAATCGTAATAACGAGATTTCTGATGCTGGTTTTTAACTTTTTTCAAAGAAAAACTTGAATAACTGAACCTAAACTCTTCCGATTTAGACTTAAGAGGTGTCATTGGAAAGGTATTTTCTCACCCTTTTCATTTCTTTGCTAATAAGCTGAAAGGGTGAAAGAGAAAGGTAGGATGAGCGAACGTCGTTCAAAGTTGTGTTAAGATGTGTTGGTATTTGAAAAAAAGGGACACGAACTACTTTCTTTGGCCAGAAACCAAAACAGTGTAAAAATACCTTTCTACTGAGATCCCATAAGTCTAAATCAGAATAGTTATGGCCCAGTCATTCAAGTTTTTCGTACATCAATTTTCGGAAATATTAAAAAACAGCATTAAAAATCTCACTCTTATGATTCCGTTGAAAATATTGTTACATATTAGCCGTCATCGATTCGCCACTTCGCTGCTTGCTATGTTTGAGTTCCGGTCGCTTAAAGAAGAATTTTGCATGTGAAAGCAACAACAAAGTTAGCTAGCTTTGATAGACGATAGCGAGTTTGGTTGTACCTCATTGAGTTCGTTCGTTTCGCCACTCGCTAACTGTTGGCGAATCGATGACGACTATTTTTATGCAGATTTTTTAAGCATAATCGGATTTGTCATCTGAGGAGACTTTTTTCAAAAAGTTCTTTAAGAAACTATTTTTATTCATAAAAAACTCCATTTTTAGAGATATCTTCAAATCGGTCCAGCTCACTTATTTAAATCTTAATATTTTTCCGAAATATTTCAGTGGACGTCTTAAAATATAATGGATTTTGTAGTCCGGGCGGAAAAACCGCAACTTTTTTTTGGTGAAGCAGTCTAATGTACATACATATTATATATGTAAATATATGAGCCCATGTATGCATAATACGCGAAAACTTTTCGAAATGAAACTTCTTTAGCGCTTCTTGAGTGTATGCGCATGAAATTAATTTAGCAAAAACTTGCTAATAAAAGGTTAAAGAATAGCACTTAGAAAAAGAACAATAAAGGAATGAAAGTAAAGGTGAGTATGTACATAGATAAAGAAAAGGATAAAGGCAAAAGTAAAAATAAAAATAAAAACTAAAACAAATATTCGTAAAGATAAAACCAAAAATTATGGTAGGGCAAAGTTGAAGGGGAATATGTAGATGAAGAATATGATAAACATAAAAGTAAAAATGAAGATAAATACATATAAAGAAAATGATGAGGATGATGTTACCGATAAAAGTAAAGATGGAGATAGAGGCAAAAAGATTAAAATAATGGTAATTATAGAGAAAAGGATATAGATAGAGACACAGGGACTCAATTTGGGGACTATTTCGGGATTTTAGAGATTTTCGAGACTTATCGATATTATAGTCGATATTTCATCGGTTTTGTTATCGAAATTCTTATCGATTTGGTTATCGAAATTTTTATCGATATTATAAATGATATATTTTATCGATTTTTTTATAGATATTTAATAGATTTTTTATCGATTTTGTAATATTTTTTATAAATTTTGTAATCGAGTTTGTTGTCGTTACTTCTATCGATTTTATTATCGATTTCGTTATTGATATTTTTATCGATTTTTTATCAATTGTGCTATCGATATTATTATCGATATTTTTTTCTTAGCTATTAACCATACCACGTATTCTACCTTTAAATTTCGCAGCTGTGTCTCTCAATTTGAAAAATGCATTATATATCGCATTTTTTTATAATTTCCATGCAGCTGTTCATTTTTTACATAATTTTATATCTTCGAACAATAAGCTAGTTTTAGTGCTATTCAAGATTTTTAATTTAAGCCAAGGTGGAAGTCTCTATGCCCTTTGAGAGCTAAATTATTACGATTCTGAAGTTAAACTTCGAAATTTCATTGCACATTTAGTGCAATTTTTTTTCTAATTTCGGAATAAAACTAGTATAGCAGTTTCGAAGTTTGGTTTGGAGTTGTTATAACTTGGCTCTCAGAGGGCCAAGAGGCTTCTTACCTTGGCTCAAATTAAAGGTCTTGAATTGCACTTATTGTTTGAGGTATATAAAATTGAGCGAGAGATGCACAGCTGCATGCAAATAGAAAAAAATGCAATAAATAATGCATTTTTTAAATTAAGGTGTTCAATTTTTTTTTCGAATTTTGAACAGTGGAATCGTGTTGCTCGTTTTAAAATCTATAATACTAGTATAATAAAAGATACAACATTTTTTGTTTTGGAATGAATTCTGTTTTTTGAAATTTCCCCTAAAATTCACCTTACCCAACTTACGTTTTCCGAACCTCTACTATCTTATAGTTCTCGCTTATTATTAATAACACTGCGCAACAAAATTCCAAAAGATTTAGGTGATGGGAATCGGACCAACGGCATTTGATTAAGCTGGTCAAATAATGAAAAAATACCAAAGAACTGGAAAAAGTTGGATACCATTTCATTTGTATCTCAATATAAATTTGGACAGTAAGATCCCAACAAGAACATATAATTTAACAAGTAAGAAAGTCTAAGATCGGGCGGCGCCGAACATTAAATACCCGGCGCAAGTATTAAATATATGTTTTTCACCTTTCCGAAAGCTACCGATACATGGTAAGCCGGGATGTATCAATTTTGAGTAAATTAGCGTCCTTAAATTTCGAAATATTGAAGTTTCAAGCATTTCTGAAACTTACCGTTATATGAAAAGCGGCCGTAATTTTAGTCCGATTTCAATAATTTTCAACGTTTTTCTTCTATGTGGCAAGCACAATAACCGCACCGAGTTTGGAACATTTTTGTCGAACGGTTACCGATCATAAGTGGGCGGTTCCACACCCATTTTCCAAAATTTTGTCATAAACGTATTTCTTGGTAAAGAGTTGTTGCAAGCATCAATTTTGAATAAATTAGCTTTAATACTTACTAATTTATCGAAGATTTCGTATTTCTCTAAATTACCGTTATATGAGATGTGGGCATGGATATTGTCCGATATAAAAATTTTTCGGCAATTTCGTATGTTATACCAAGGTCAACAACTGTGCCAAGTTTGGAAGAAATTGGTGCAGCGGTTACCAAGTTATACACATGTAACCATAAGTGGGCGTGGCTACGCCCATTTTCCAAAAATTTGTTATATTCTTATTTTTCGTCTAAAAATTATTGTAAATATCAATTTTGAGTGAATAACCTTCAGTAGTTACTAAAATATCGCAGTTTTCATATTTCTGAAAATTACCGTTATATGGGAGGTAGGCGTGGTTATTGTCCGATTTCGCCCATTTTCAATACCATCCGTCCTACGCCAGAAAGGAGTGCATGTACCAAGTTTCGTTAAGATATTTCAATTTTTACTCAGTTATCGTGTGCACAGACGGACGGACGGACAGACAGTCACCGCTTAATCGATTTCTCTTTCCATTCTGATCATTTATGTATACATTTGTCTATATCTATCTCGATTCGTTTTGCCTGTTACAAACAACCGTTATGTGAACAAAGTTATAATACCCTTGTGCACAAGTGCGCTCGGGTATAAAAACACATTTTGCAAAGTTGATGGAGCGGGAAGGGGAGGACATGGGAGGAGTTTTTGGCACAGCTCAATGTTCAACTGAAATTTGTTTTATTATATAAATGTATGTATAGTATATACATATGTTAATATGTGCATGTTGGTATGAAATTTGTGAGCAAAACCAAAAAGAGAAAATCATAGAACTTTTTTATTTTTGAACCTGAAATTAGCAACTTGAAATCGATATTAAAAGGAAATGGGAACCAACTTTTGCAAATGCTTTGATATTTGTTCATATTTTGACCTCTTTTAAAGAATGTAATTGGTCTCATTTCCATCACTTTTTAAGTGTTGCACTGTGCAATCTAAAAACTTTGAAAACAAAAATTTCTGTTCTCTGTATCTTTTACTTTTATTATAATTAATGGTGCTACGGATTGTCCTGTTATTTTTCGGTATTCCTCAGTGTAACTTACAAAATTTTTCAATTATACATATTTTTTCACTAGTCTTATCTATGCAAATGTAAATTTACCTACCAACAAATCTACAAAAATCTATATTAGCATTTTTTAACTTACAGATAAATATGTAAAACGTCCACCTCGCAAGGCGTACGGCCGCCTCAGCGCTGATTCTGATGACGCCAGTTCACAGCACAAACACAAAATCGATGATCCTTTCGAAGATTACGATAACTTCAAAATAATAACATCAGATAGCAGTTGTAGCCACAACAATGTAAATGGCAACATGAATGGTAATGGCAGTGCCACATGTTCACATGGTCAGGCCGACGACAGAGATAGGGTAGGATGTGGGGGTGATGGTGGTAGTGTAGCTGCTCTTGATGCCAAAATGATTTCCTGCACAGTGCCCGATTGTCAGGGAAATTTCGTAAATGGTGGCGTGGTGTGTGATTTAGATGTTATGACGGGACTATGCAGAGGTGATGTTGGTGTGGTTTCTGCTGCCTCTAAATCGAATTCATCGGCGACGCAAAGGCAAAAAGTAGTCAACGAGAATACTATTAACCGCTTGCAGGCGATGGCGATGTCAGATGATGATGATTATGGTGAGTACCAAAAAGTAAAGCAGATTTACATATATATAGAATATTAGTCATAAATAATAATGAAGGTGGTTAAGTACTAGGGCATTGGTTGAACGGACGAGTATTTTAATGGAATAAATGAACCGAAGATAGGAATCAATCTGATTTGAGAAAGTGGCTCAAAATAATTAAATAAGACAATGTTGTTGTTTTAATTACCAGAAATACTTAGCTATTTTTATAGTCTGCTGTAATTACTGTGCATGTCCGTTGCAAACATTCGCAGAAGATCTTGAAACGTATTCCAAAGTAAGCCAATAGCAAACAGTTTGAATTTTAGAAAAAAAACTTTAATTAACTACTAGTCTGGGCACTGCTTTAACAATTAATTTGAAAGCAAAAAACAAAATTGACTTCAATTCCCATATAAAAATTTAGGATTATTGTTAATTTCTTCAACATCCAATGATCGGATATAAATCAACTTAGTATAGGACAATCCTTGAGGTAACACCTTTCCTTTAAAAAAAGAATTATAGAAATCGGTTATGCGGTAACATACATAAAAAAAAATAAAAAACTATTCAAACGAATTGATAACCTCTTCCTTTTTTTGAAGCCGTTTAAAAAAATGTCGAGATTGCGAACATAAGTATTTATGTATTCATGCAAGACCTTCTCTTTTATTGATTGTACATTTTTTACCTAGTTTTTTTTTTGTTTATTCGTAGATGAATCTCTGACATGCAATGTTTGTGATAGAGCTTTCCATTGTCATAGGCAATTGGCATCGCATCAGCAGAAAAAGCGTCATTTCGGGTGAGTATATCTACGAAATACAAGTACATACTTAGGCTTACTGAAGGCGAATAAATTGCTTGTATTTTGTCTTTTGTGTTTATTAACAAGAGAGAAAAAGAAAAACATCTCTATGTTTTAACTTCTTTATTATAAGAGCTAGTTCGGGAATTGAGGGTTAATTGAATAAGGTGAATAACTCTGATACTTCCTTAATTAATATACGTAACTACATATATGGTAGCCGCTGTAATGTAGTGGTTAGCGTTGTGCGCACCACTCCGCGGGGGCTGGGTTCAAGCACTGGTCAAAGCAGCTTCGCAAATATAGAAAAAAGGATTTTTCTTAACAGCGGTCGCCCCTGGGCTGGCAAAGGCAAACCTCCTATTATATTTCTGCCATGAAAAAACAGGTTCTCATAAAAATATAATCCCCCATGTGTGTGCCAACAACAAGCCGCACGCCACAAATCGGAGCAGAAGCATGGCCAAACACTAACATATATGTAAACGCCAATTTATTATCTATGATTATCAAGTGCATGTATGTACATTGTACATATAACAATCATGAAGACTACATAGTAGACGACACATAATATATCTAGTCTTTGCTTACTAATTCAGCGGTCAATATATTCGCCTGTACCGCCACCGGAGGAAACTTCGCTGGCAGGCCATGTGAAATTCCTAAAAGTCTCTAGAGTGTGGCCGGAAACCAATTCGTCAACACAAGACTTCGCTGGCATACTTAAAACTTTGGTATTACTGAAGTTAATTTTCAGGCATGGCAACCTAGCTTCTCCGAGCCAGAAAGACGACATATGTCCCCACCGTAGTCAATGTACTGCAGTGAAGTGGACATACCAGCGAAGTCCAGATAAGTGAGGATATTCTAAAATAAGAATTCATTTCCCCGTCTACATCGTGCCATAGCAATCCGAAAATTGTCGCTAACTCGTTTGAGAAGACCTCCTCTGCTCTTAATTTGCTGCCAATCGATCTAAGATTAAATCTGCAATGATCTTTGCCGCCGCAGGCCAAACGCAGACCACGCGCGAGTTAAGACAATCTATCAACTTCCGTCCACTCGTATGGTAAGCAGTAACTATGCCCTGCTAATGAGTGAATGACGCAATTCATCGGTGCGCAAATTTACACAAATTCTGGCGGTATTCAATTTGATCCTGCAATTTATTAAGGGATACCAGTTTGGAGTCAATGCATGCACCAGAAGTTAAAAATAGCTGCATAAACACCATTTTGTGTATTCAGTGTACCTTATGTTTCACATAATATTTAGAAAGAAGTTCCCTTCTACACATTGGCGTTACTGGCAGAGACTAAGTTGGTTGGTTGACTAAAACAGCACAAAATCTATACAGATATAGCCACATCTTGTTAAATCTTGTCAGAAAGCTCTGCTGCATGCGTTTGGACTGGAATGCACTGAGGTAACTTTTAATGCTTTGAACAGCGATAGTAAGTCGGCGCTAAGACGTCGAGCAAATTCTTCCATTTACTTCCTGCTCCCTATTTCATAAAAAAAAATTATTATTGCACATTTCCATTTGATCATTCAAAATGTGTAAACAGAAATCGCTGAGCAAACTTCGTGAGAAGAAAGTTCGCTGCCAAAAATAAAACAAACTGCAGTTTATAAGATTACACACAACCAAAGCGGCAACGAAGTTCATCTAAAGAAATTCGTCGAGAATAGATTTATTATTAATTTTGCCGCTGCCGCACGGTACAAAATTAATTGTCAGTGATTAGATAGCTTCATTTCTTCACTTTTCTAGCAGATAATTATCAGGAATTAGCAGAATGGTAAAATTTTCGGATTCATTTTTTCGCTTTTGTATAATTATACATTTTATTTGTCATTCAACTGGTGCGTATTTCGTTTCGGTTCTGTTTTACTATGCGAATTGTTGCGACGAATATCTTCCGATAGTAACGTTTCTGTTCATACTTGAAATACAATTTTGATATTTTTTGATAATTTTTAGTTTTGAATATTTTTGAAAATATACATTTTTTGAGAGTTGGGGTGCCAAATGAAAACTTCTGGAAAATTTCATATTAGCTAGTTGCAATAAAATGAAAAAAAATAATCAAACTGATGTCAATGTAAATACGTAAGTTTATATGCTCCGGCTTTTTTGTGCCATTTTATAACTTGAGATTTTTCCTACAGTGTTATTTTTAATGTTCCCATCTCCTTGAAAAGAATGCGATGTCGACCTCCCTTTAGGTACTTCAGTCCAGTTTTCGCATATACAAGGTATTAGGCGTTGGCTGTGATATATTCAGAGACTATTACCAAAAACATGTTTTTTTTTTTGTACATTGTGTAGAAGAAGTGCAGGAACTGTACCCTGGTCAGCGATTTTTTTTTTTGGGCATGCGGTTAATGTTCCAACCATAAAATAAAAAATAAATTTGCTCACAAATTGTGTGCCCCAAACAAAAAGAGAAGAGAAATTTTTGAGATGTATTAAATATGTAGATATGTATGCATTTCAGTTATTTACGCAAATTAGGCAGGTTGATAGAAGGAATTTTATTACATCGTAAACTGGCGCTATTTTAATACTGAAATTGTATGTAATGGCGAAACACGTGCTGACAAAGAGAGCAAAGAAAGGCGAAAAAAATCATATAGAAATTAAATTTTGCTTTATGAGTATTAAAGAAATATTTGCAGAATAAATAGCCGAAAGCAATGAGCAGCGTTTCATCTTACACCAATTTTGCGGTTTTATCCTCATAAATACGGACATAATAATGCATGAATTTGCATAAATAGGCATTTGTTTATACACAAAGGCAAATATGAATATTGCAGTATAATGAAGCTTTTTTGTAGATATATAAATGTGTTCCAAGTAACCAAATGAATGTGCATATTTATGTTTATTATTACATATATGTATTTCTTAGCCATTTTTCACTCACTATATTGTAATGTAAACTTCCATATACTTTGAAATTAAATGACAACCTATCAGCTCCTTTTATGAAAGAACATTGTAATAATGAAGAAATTTAGATTACTTACGGCAGCGACTGATGTGCATTCGGGGCGTATGAGTAACTTTTGAAACACATGGGCTAACAAACTCGGGATACGTTAGCGCAGCTATGGACATATAAATGTATACCAAAATATTTAGGATGAAGAATAAAAAAAACTATTGAGTGAAGTCTGCCTTTCCGCCCGCCCTTGCAGACAACACAATTGCTTAGTTTTTATTTATCTAGCCCATTATATCTACTAAAATTTGAAATCATATGGATAGATAATATTCGTGATCCTTTTGAGAGGAATCCGAATTCGAAAAGGGGAGGAGCAATTAATCTATACAGAAAAATGTATAGAGGAATGTTTGTATATACATAACTTGAAAACTAAAGTATTTTTTCGTATCCAATCTGTCCCCAATCTGTTATCATTACTAGAGGCACAGCCTAAGAGTAGAGCCTTTTACAAAACATTTCAATACCCATTGTCCTTCAAACTTAAATAGGCGCCTGGTGTCCAGACCATCTCAAATTAAAAAAAATATATATATATAATATATAAAACAGTTTTGAAGTGTTTGGGGCGCTTTTGGCGGAAGTAAGTTTTTATTTTTTGATGAAAGTTTGAAGTTATAGTTATGCTTTTGTTTTTTAAGTTAACTACATATAACAAAGAACTTTTTATATTGTTTATAATATACACTTTATTTTA